AGGTTATGTCTCATCCACCAGATTGACAAAAAAAAATAAAGAAGTTGATGCCACCACATGGGGACCCCAGCCTTAAACACGGAGGGTGGAGTAGATTGGTAGAGCCACTTGGCAGTGGCACAAGGTGGCATCTTGCCAGGTTGGAGGTGAGCATATCTGTGACTCAGGTCTTCCTTCCCCAGGTACCGACTCTCACATGAGTGCACCTGGAGGGAAACTGGAAACATCACTGAATTACGATTCGGTCACAGTCGTGCCATGGAGATGGCCTGGCGATTAAACACAACAAAAGTGAGTAGTCAAGATCAACCAGGACGTGCGCAAAGGCAGCACATGAGATGGGGGCAAGGCCAGAGCCTTTGGGAAGAGAGAGGAGACAACTGTCCCTTCTCCTCCCCCCCCCCGCCCCCGCCCATGCCTGAAGGGGCTGACTTTACCACTGAGGAGAATTTTTGCACAAAGAAGAAACACCAGAAAAAAACATGATTTATTTTTGCCTCACTCATTTTACAGGCAGTAAAGGTAAGCTCCAGGAAGAAGAATGACCTGCCGTACTGGTGCCCAAGCTGAGATGCGATTCTGTTTCCTTTCTTATTTTTTTAAAAGATATTTTTATTGATTTCAGAGAGGGAGAGGGAGAGAGAAACATCACTGGTGAGAGAGAATCATGGATCGGCTGCCTCCTGCACGCCCCACGCTGGGGATCGAGCCCGCAACTCGGGCATGTGCCTCGACTGGGAATGGAACCGTGACCTCCTGGTTCATAGGTCGACGCTCCACCACTGAGCCACGCCGGCCGGGCTGACTCTGTTTCCTTTCTATGACTTCCCTTTTCTCCCTCCTCCCTGTGCTATGGCCCCTCCTCCCAAAGGCCTGGACTGGTGCCGTAGCCTCCTTTGGCCACGCTTCTTTTTTTTTTTAATATATTTTATTGATTTTTTACAGAGAGGAAGGGAGAGAGATAGAGAGTTAGAAACATCGATGAGAGAGAAACATCGATCAGCTGCCTCCTGCACACCCCCTACTGGGGATGTGCCCGCAACCCAGGTACATGCCCCTGACCGGAATTGAACCCGGAACCTTTCAGTCCGCAGACCGACGCTCTATCCACTGAGCCAAACTGGTTTCGGCTGGCCACGCTTCTTGTTCTCTACTCTGCACATGACCAGAGAGGCTTCGTCACACCGCTCCCTACTCAGAAGCATCCAGCAGCTCTCACCGCTCCTGACGCTAAGTCCAAGCTCATGGTGTTCTGCTTTTCAAGGGCGTAAAACAACCGTTACTCGGCTCACAGGTTCTGTGGGCCAAGAATCGGGACAGGGCCCAGGAGGAACAGCTTGTGTTTGCTCCGCAGCATCTGGGGCCTCAGCTGGAGGACTTGAAAGCTGGGGGCTGGAATCCTGAAGGTGCCTTTACTCACAGGGGATGATGCAGCAGCAGCTGGGCATGGGCTGGAACGCTCCATGGGGCTCGGCCATGTGTCCTGGGCTTCCTCACAGCATGGTGGGTGGGCTCAGAGAGAGAGAGAGAGAGAGAGCCCAGCTGGCGCGGCTCAGTGGTGGAGCGTCGACCTGTGAACCAGGAGGTCCCGGTTCGATTCCCGGTCAGGGCACATGCTCAGGTTGCGCGCTCGATCCCCAGGGGGGGACGTGCAGGAGGCAGCCGATCAGTGATTCTCTCTCATCATTGATGTTTCTATCTCTCTCTCCCTATTCCTTCCTCTCTGAAATCAATAAAAATATATATTAAAGAAAAAGAAAGAGAGAGAAGGACTTTACTATCTTTTATGACCTAGCAGTGTAGGCTGTGCATTTTATTCATCAAGGCAGCCACAAAGGCCTGCTCCATTTCAAAGAGAGGAGAAATGGACTCTACCTCTAACAGTAGAGCCCACATGGGACCAGAAGTAGCTCTGTGGCCATTCTTAGATAGTACACATAGGAAAATACTAATATTTAAAGCTGCAGCCCCGCCGATGTGGCTCAGTGGTTGAGCATCGACCCATGCACTAAGAGGTCTCTGGTTTGATTCCCGGTCAGGGCACATGCCCAGGTTGCAGGCTCGATCCCCATTGGGGGTGTGCAGGAGGCAGCCCATCAATGTTTTTCTCTCACTGATGTTTCTATCATTCTCCCTCCCTATCCTTCTAAAAAGCAATAAAAGCATATTTAAATATATATATTTATTTAGAGCTGCAGAGTCACCGCAGGCCTTGAACAGTAGCCTCAGGCCATGTGCAGAGGGAGAACGAGGCAGGGAGGCCAAGGACAGGGCTGCTGCGCCAGTGCAGGCCTGGCCAGGAGGGGCCATCGGACAGGAAGGAAGGACAGGGGAGGGGGCATAGAGAGGGCCCGGATTGTGGTGAGGCCCAGTTATCACCTCAGTTTGGTCACCAGCGTGGCAGGTCATTTTCCTCCTTGGAGCTTCCCTCTGTCACCTGTAAACTGAGACAGAAATATAAGGAGGAGGCTTCTTATTCATATTGTGGCTCCTGTGAGAATCTGATGACAGGAATGAACCCTCTCCTCAGGGGAAGAAAGATGCACTCAGCTCACAGGTGGGAAACTGGGCCGACGCTTCTGGAGCGCTCAGCGTTGGCCTGGCTCTGGTTAAGGATGGCGCTTCTGGGCCCCGGATGTCTGGGTGTGAACCCTGCCTCGCTCCTCACCAGGGAAGAGAAGAGACCTTGGGCAGCTGCCTTGACCTCTCCATGCCTCAGTTTCCCCCCTGTAGCAGCTAGGAAGGACCCCAACTCTCAGCGACGCCAGCAGAATGGCAGCTGTTTCTCCTCTGGAAAAGCCCACCTATGTGGTTGGTGGTGTTGGTTCGGGAGCTGAGACAGCTCTTTGTCTCTTAAAAGATTTCTCCACCCTGAAGACCCCCCTTAATCTCATTGCTCAGAGTGGAACCACGTGACCGGCCCCTGTGAGCAAGGGGGAGGGATGAACCCTGGCTCAGTGGCTCTCAGCCAGGCCGGTATCGCAGCTCCATGGATGTCTGCAAATGTGTGGGGACAGTTCAGGCTGTCACAGTGACTGGGCATTTAGTGGGAGGTGCCTGCTACCACGCATGACACAGTCTTGCATGAAGAATTATCCCCCCAGAATGCCAAGAGCCGTCCCCTGTAGCAAAGGCAATGACGAGGGACAGGCTGGGAAGGAGGGTCGGGGCAGCCAGCCCGTGGCACCCGCCACTGCGCCCACCTCTTGGGCTGCCTTAGGAGCCTGGGTCAGTGCTCAGGTCGGTGCTCAAGCAGATGCCGGGCTTCCCTAAAGGTCAGGAGACTGCGGAGGAGGCACTCAGAAACCACCGGGGGCCCTGCTGGACCTGCAGCCCAGGCCAGAGAGGAGGCACTGCCAAGAGCAGCCACGGCCCGGGAGGCGGACGCACGTGGGACACACAGCATCGCTGTCTGTGCTCTCGCCGTCCTCAGAGCTTCTTGCCTCCTTTTGAAGCCTGCCTGGCACTGGAGGGCTGCCCGGTGTGCCCTGCCACATCCGACAGTGTCACGCCACATCTCTCCGCCCGCCCCCAAAGGGACCCTGACTCAGCAGACACAGCAGGGCAGGGCAAAGGAAGTGGGGGAAACGTCACGGTAGCTTGTCACCACGTCCGTCCATCTGGCCCAGTTCCCGGCAGCCCAGGAGTCAGCCCCCTGGTGGGTGTGGGCCAAAGCCACAGCTCCGCCAGTGGGCCAGCATCGCGGCGGCAGGACCTCTTCCTCCTTCGGGACCCGGGGACAGGACGGGAGAAGTCTGGGTCTGACCTCCGGCCTCGGGGATCTTCTGGGCTGCTCCTCAAAGAGAGAGCACCCTGCCCGGCTGGTGTGGCTCAGTGGTTGAGCATCGACCTAGGAACCAGGAGGTCCTGGTTCGATTCCCGGTCAGGGCACATGCCCGGGTTGTGGGCTCCATCCCCAGTAGGGGGCGTGTAGGAGGCAGCTGATCGACGATTCTCATCTTTGATGTTTCTATCCCTCTCCCTTCCTCTCTGAAACCAATAAAGATCTATATTCCTCACTCCACGATTAGGTAAATTGTTTTAAAAATAAAAGAGAGAGCACCCTAATCCCTCTTCCCTTCCCCAAGCTCAGGAGAAACCAATTTTCTCCCCTCCAAACGTGACCAAGGTGTCTCAGTTCTGGTGACTGCCGAGCCGGTGTGAGATGGAGGAGTTCCCACGGGAAGGTGAGGGTCACAGGATGGGCTCCTGGAGCTGGGAAGTCCTCAGGTGATGCCAGCTGTCCTCCCTGAACACCTGCCGTGTGCAGGGCGCCGTGCCAAGCATTTTATAGAATTAGTTCATCCCGTGCTTATGACACCTTCGCAGGGGAGGTGTCATTATCCACATGTGATGGATGAGGAAACCGAGGCTCGGCCAAGTTCAGCCCCGGGTTAGCTTCCTCGTTCATGGATCAGGCATCTGAGGATGACCCGCCCAGCGTGGGAGCAAGGCTTGTCTCCCTGGGCTGGGCCTGGCTGCTTTGTTGGAGGACATTTGTCCTGGACACAGGCCAGGCACTAAGGCTCGAATGGACATGTCGGGCCAGCATCCAGGTTCCAGGCACCAGGCCTGCCCGACGTCTGCCCATTGCTGCCCCGTTGACTCACGGAGCCCAGAAAGTCCAGATTTTATAAGGTCAACCCAAGTGCCCTGGGACTGTACACTCGGCACTTGTTGACATGTAGGGCTAGAACAGCTTCTTCCGTTGGGTGTGCGGACATGGGCCACACACGTGCGTTCTGTCTCCTAGACCCGTGGTCGGCAAACTCATTAGTCAACAGAGCCAAATGTCAACAGTACAACGATTGAAATTTCTTTTGAGAGCCAAATTTTTTAAACTGAAACTAGGTAGGTACATTGTTATTAATTAGGGTTCTCCTAAGCTGGCCTTTGCTAAAAACGTCCTCAATCTGATGGAGGTACGTTTGCTGAGGTCGACCCCTTCCAACTCTCCCCGACACTGCATCTTCTTTCACTCCACAATGTTCCCTGTACGTGCGCGCCTGCACGTGGTATTTTGTGGAAGAGCCACACTCAAGGGGCCAAAGAGCTGCATGTGGCTCGAGAGCCTCGGTTTGCCGACCACAGTCCTAGACCAACATCCAGTCATAGGCGGCAGCTTCTGGGCCAAGAGTGGAAAGACCAGAGCTCCAGACCCAGCTGCCCCCACCAACCCTGACCTTGACCAGGTCTCACTGTCTCCCTGAGCCTCAGAGGAGGAATCCTAACCCTGTGATTCCCAAAGGGCAGGAAAGGAGGAGACACACTTCTCCTTTTTTTTTTTTTTAATATTTTTATTGATGTAAGAGAGGAAGGGAGTGGGAGAGAGAGATAGAAATATCAATCATGGGAGAGAATCACTGAACGGCTGCCTTCTGCACGCCCCCCCCTACTGGGGATTGAGCCCGAAACTTGGGCATGTGCCCTTGACCGGAATCGAACCTGGGACCCTTAAGTCCACAGGCCGACACTCTATCCACTGAGCCAAACCAGCCAGGGCCACCTCTCCTTTAAGTATATTTTTATTGATGTCAGAGAGGAAGGGAGAGGGAGAAAAAGATAGAAATAGAAACATCAATGATGAGAGAGGATTATTGATCAGCTGCCTCCTGAACACCACCAACGGGGATTGAGTCTGCAACCCAGGCACGTGCCCTGATCGGGAATCGAACCCACCCCCACCGGAGATTGAACTGCAATCCAGACATGTGCCCTGATCGGGAATCAAACCGGCGACCTCTTGGTTCCTGGGTCAATACTCAACTGCTGAGCCACACAGGGCTGGGCTGGAGACACCATTTCTTTTGTCCCACCCTCAGCGATGTCTCTCACACCACAAATAGCCATTGCGTTTCACCTCCTGTGCAAATGCTGGTAGGTTAGCAGTGACTGCTTGGGATTCTGTGGGGAGGAGGATTCCACAGCTGTTTGGTGATGGATTAGCCATGTCTGTCCTGGGCCAGGACTGAGGGGTGGTGATGCGTGTGCCGTGCGTTTACCGTAACTGCGATCCCCCAAGTGCGCTGTCCGAAGGGAGCCCTCAGGGAGTTCCCCAGGTGCTCCCCAGAGATAAGGTGCCCCGGTAACCCCATTTCTGTGAAGGCCACGTCCTTGGAAATATTACGCAGCCGTTGAGAGGGGATTTTGCATTGGTTCAAGCCTCTCTTAGCCACTTCCTGTCCCAGATAACCGGCTCCCGTGGCTGCTCTGGGGTTTATCTGTGAGGTCACAACTGCTGCCTTGAGGCCTTCAATTCTCCTGTCGGAGAACAGTGCTCACAGGCTGCCTGCTTTCCTGGCAGTGCCCCTGCTTCTAAATGCCCCCATTACCCAAAAACGCCCCCCCCACCCCCACCCCGTGACCCATTCTCGGCTGACACGCAAATGTAGACCTGGTTTATGGGGCTGAGGTTGCAGCTGCCTGGCTCTCCCAGGACTGCATTCTCAAGGCAGAACCCGAAGTCTTTCTCATGATGGAATTCCACACATGGTGGCGGGTCAGTGGGGACGCATCGGAGGCTGTGGGGGCGGCCTGACAGTCCTCAAAGTAGCCAGGCTGGTGAGTGTCCAGGTCGGCGCGAACCCACCTGCCACTGTTTGCCCGCCCTGAGCAGGGCTCTGCTGTGTTTCCTCCTGGGACAGACCTGTTCCGTCCTGATAGGTGATTCCACTCCACCCTGCTTCCCAAGCTTTCTGGGTCGTAGGGCTCCCCACCCAGGGCCAAGGCCCAAGGGAAAAGCCCTGCACTGGTCATTGGCTCTAAATCACAGAGAAAGTCCTGGCTGGTGTGGCTCAGCGGATAGAGCATTGGGCTGCAGACTGAAGGGTCCGGGTTCGATTCCGGTCAAGGGCACATGCCTGGATTGTGGGCTCGATCCCCAATGTGGGGCCTGCAGGAGGCAGCCGATCCATGATTCTTTCTCATCATTGATGTTCCTATCTCTCTCTCCCTCTCCCTTCCTCTCTGAAACCAATAAAAATATATATGTAAGTAAATCATAGAGAATGACTTTGGGGTGGTGGGGAGCATTTTGCAGGATCCCAGAATTTTCCTGAGAGAAGGAACCCCACTTCCACCTGGTACACCTGTCCTTTCCACAAACCCTCACCGAATGGATGTTCAGCTTCCACTTAAATGGCTCAGTTGGGAGGGCCTGAAATTCTAGGCATCTCTCTCTTTTTTTTAAATATATTTTTATTGATTTCAGAGAGGGAGAGAGACATAGAAACATCAATGATGAGAGAGAATCATATATCAGCTGCCTCCTGCACACGCCCTACTGGGGACTGAGCCCGAAACCTGGGCATGTGCCCTTGACCGGAATCGAACCAGGACCCTTCAGTCCGAAGGCTGACGCTCTATCCACTGAGCCAAACCAGCTGGGGCTCTAGGCATCTTTTGTTTCTTCTTTGTGTTTTTTATGTAGAGTCGTTTTCCACAACAAAATCATTCGTTCAACAAATACTTATGGAGCCCCTACTGTGTGCCAATGGCACTGTTGAAGCCACTGGGGATACAGCAGTGAGCAAAGCAGACAAAAACCCCTGCCCACACAGAGCTGACATGCTATGGGGCCCGGGGGGGGGGGGGGGGGGGAAAGACAACAAACCAATAAAGAGAATATACAGTGTGTCCAATGGTGAAAAGTATTATGAGGAAAAATTAATCAAGGAAGGGGCATGGGGCGTGCTGTGTTTGTATTTTAGCAGTGAAGGCACCATTCCAGCAAAGTCCTGAGAGAGGAGAACAGGCTGAGGCACATGGGTGTCCTCTGAGAGGTCCAGATAGAGGGGAGGGCACTGTCCTGAGGTAGGAGTGCGCTGGAGAGATAGGGACCCAACGGAGGCCAGCGCTCTGCAGCCACACCAGCCAGGTGGGGACTGTGGGAGATGAGATGAGGTCAGGAGGGCACAAGGGTGGGGCGGATGGTGCTTACATAGTATGGCTTTTGTGTATGTGTGGGTGTGTGTATGTGTATGTGTTTTGGTTTTTTTTTAATATATTTGTATTGATTTCAGAGAGGAAGAGAGAGAGAGAGAGAGAAACATCAGTGATGAGAGAGAATCACTGATCAGCTGCCTCCTGCACGCCCCCCACCGGGACCGAGCCCACAATCCCGGGCATGTGCCCTTGACCGGAATCGAAGTCGGGACCCTTCAGTCTGCAGGCCGATGCTCTATCCACTGAGCCAAACTGGCTAGAGCAGTGGTTGGCAAACCGCGGCTCGCGAGCCACATGCGGCTCTTTGGCCCCTTGAGTGTGGCTCTTCCACAAAATACCAAGTGCGGGCACGCACGTACAGTGTGAAGTTGACTTAAAACTTTAAGTAAAGTTTATTAAGTTAATTTTAGGGAACGTTGTGGGGTGAAAGAAGATGGAGTGTCAAGGGTTGAGAAAGGTATGTGGAGACGGTTTGGACATATAGAGAGGATGAATGAAAGGAGACAGACGAAACAAGTATACAAGACGAGTGTGGATGGGAGAGGTGGAAGGGGGCGACCTCGGCGAATGTACCTCCATCAGATTGAGGACGTTTTTAGCAAAGTCCAGCTTAGGAGTACCCTCATTAAGTTAATAGCAATGTACCTACCTATATAGTTTAAGTTTAAAAAATTTGGCTCTCAAAAGAAATTTTAATCATTGTACTGTTGATATTTGGCTCTGTTGACTAATGAGTTTGCTGACCACTGGGCTAGGGCCATAGTGTGGCTTTTGTAATGCAAGAAGCCAATTTTTTTCAACAGGAAAGAGTTGGATTCTAATAGAAGCTCAAACCCAGACAAAAAGAAAACCCAAATCCGGTCCCGGTGAGCCAAGTGAAGACCACATCAGAACTGCACGATGAGACCAGCGTTTCTGGAGCGCTAACGGTGCCTGGCACGTCATCTGGAGCCACAGGGACAGGGTAGCTGAGTTTTTACGATCAATTGTATCGATCCAGGAAAACGGAAACCAAAATAACTCTGTGAGGTAAGAGGCCTGGCGGAAAGGGCTGGGCTTCCTGGGGCACAGTGGGGGTGAGGGGAGGGTGTTAGGGTTCTCAGGCCTGGATCTGAGGAAGGGGGTGGAGGTGGGCATGGATGGGTGCCCTCCCCTTCCCCCTTGGGCCAGTGAGTGACTCCCAGGGCCAGTCAGGGTCCAGGCGTTCATCATGTAAACCTTAGTGTGAGTCAGGCCCAGCAGCCTGGCCTGCCCGGGTATCCAGACCCCTGAGGGCCAAACCCATACCCTGGGGTGTTCAGGAGGCCACCTTCCAGAGAATTCCACTGGGTCCTCATGTTCCTCACCCAACTATGGATACGCCCATTGACCAGGAAGCGTAGGCCACTCAGATGTGCCCCGTGACATGGTCGCTAAGCTTGGGCCGAGGAGGGCTTCAGTCCCAGGCCTACCTGACGGCCCCGTCTCTCCAGGAATTAGCTGAGGCTGTGACAGGGAACAAGGACAGGCCCCGGGGACAAGGAAGGAGCCAGCAGGCAGCAGCTGGGTGGAGGGTGGGAGATGACGTGAGGCGGGACCGGAGTAGAGGGAAGTGGCAGGCCACAGGGAGGGGCTGGCCACAGCGCAGCCAGGCAAGGACCAGGGGAGAACATTCAGAACTCCCAGCCCTTCGCCAGAAGTTAACAAAAGTCATTGTTACAGTCACGGACATAGATCCTTATCTTCTAAATGGTATATTTTGGCGTGTGCGTGTTTATTCTCTTTGATGCTGGAAGAGGGGAGGCGGGGTCACGTGGCCAGGCCGGGCACACTTTCACCCAGGACGGGCGCGGGGAAAGGGTTCCGAGGGAGGCCAGGCCCTGACAGGGACTGCGGGTCCCACACCCCCCTTTTCACCCTCTGACCGAGATGCCAAGTTTCCTGCCCAAGCCCCGCACCAAAGGGCATAGACAGTGGGCAATGATGGGCAGGGCCTGAGGGCAAATGGAACAGTGAGGTCCCTGCCCCAGCCACCAGCCCTTGCCGTGGTCACTGGGGTCAGCCGGATACAGGCCCACATGCTGGCTGTGCCACGTTCTGTGCACGTGTCCTTGACAAGTTGTTTTTTTTTTATTATTATTAATTATTTTTTCGTTAATCCTCACCCGAGGATATTTTCCCATTGATTTTTTAAAAAATATTTTTTTATTGATTTCAGAGAGGAAGGAGGAGGGAGAGAGAGAAACATCAATGATGAGAGAGGATCATTGATCGGCTGCCTCCTGCAAGCCCCCGACTGGGGATCGAGCCCACAACCCGGGCATGTGCCCTTGACTGGATGCAAACCCAAGACCCTTCATCAGTCCACATGATACTCTACCCACTGAGCCAAACAGGCTAGGGCTCCACTGATTTTTAGAGAGAGTGAAAGGGAGGGGGGAGAGAGAGAAAAACATTGATGTGAGAGAGACACATCAATTGGTTGTGCCCCAACCAGGGCTGGGAATCAGACCTGCAACTAACTGAGTCACGTGCCCTTGACGGGAATCGAGCCCGGGACCCTTCAGTCCGCAGGCTGACGCTCTACCCGCTGAGCCTTGGCAAGTCCTTTCATCCTAAGGCCCTCATCTGGGAAACGGGCGTGCTTTAAGGGTTGTTTGGAGGATTACATAAGACCTTGCACGTGAAGCACTCAGCACAGTCCGGCCAAAGAGCGAGTTCCGAGTAAGTGTTACCATTACGATTATTTTCATCATCATTACTGCCGGCGTGACCACCTTCCAATCTACTGTTGACACAGGATTTCACTGCCCGAGTGCGCATTTGTGTTGATGATTTGCGTTGGCACCAAGCAGTCCTTTTTAATTGCTGCTGGCTAACAAGAAAAGAGCAGAGGCGGATTTAATGCGTAAATGATGTGGTGAAGCCAAGAGGAGGCCAAATGATGTAACAGCCCACAGTGCAAACAGAAGTATTGCAGTCATTCAGAGAGAGAAAAGTAGTGGGAGAACTGAGTCACCCCCAGCACAGACATGGCAGCACCCACCGGCCTGTCCCATTCACCAGGGGGCCTGCTCTCATTGGTCAGCCCCATGTCTCCGTACGCGGCAATTTGGTCTCCGAGAAACAGCATCATCCTTCCCATTGAGCTAATGTTTAATGAATTGTGTTGGGTTTGTAGTTTTGTTTATCTTTATTGTGTAAATTTCTCTAGAAAGTATTGCTAAGTAAAAAAACAAAACAAAATAAAAACCCAGCCTGATTGGCGTGGCTCAATGGTTGAGCGTCAATCTATGGACCAGAAGGTCACGGTTCAATTCCCAGTCAGGGCATGCATATGCCTGGGTTGCGGGCCCAAACCCGGGTGTGGGGCATGCAGGAGGCAGCTGATAAATGATGTAATATATATAAAAATATAGAGGGCTAGGGCCAATGAAAATATATTTAAAAACAAACAAACAAAAACCCAGCCCTACCCAGTTTTCTTAGTGGTTAGAGCGTCAGCCTGTGGACTGAGGGGTACAGGTTTGATTTCGGCCAAGGGCACATGCCTTGGTTGCAGGCTTAATCCCAGGGCTGTGCAGGAGGCAACCAATCGATATGAGTCTCACATCGATGTTTCTCTCTCTGTCTCTCCCCGTTCCTCCCACTCTCTCTGAAAATCAATGGAAAAGATATCCTTGGGTGAGGATCAACAAACAAACAAAAACCCAAATTATAATATGCTACCTTTTGATAAAAAAGGGAAATACTATAAGAATAGAGAGGTAGCCCTGCCCGAGTGGCTCAGGGGTTGAGCGTGGACCTATGAACCAGGAGGTCACAGTTCGATTCCCCGTCAGGGCACATGCCTGGGTTGCAGGCTCGATCCCCAACGTGGGGCGTGCAGGAGGCAGCCAATCCATGATTCTCTCTCATCACTGATGTTTCTGTCTCACTCTTCTCCTTTCTTCCTCTCTGAAATCAATAAAGATATTAAAAAAAAAAAAAGAACAGAGAGGTAAATGTGTGTATATATATAATTTTTTTCTTTTTTGCAGAAAGCAACACTGGAAAGATCAATCAGATGGAATAAAAATTGGTACTCAGGTGTGGGGGGGATTGCACAGAAGGAGCAGAGGTAAGAGCAAGATTGCTTTCTGTGTGTTTTTCTGTAGTTTTGCCCTTTGAATCATTTTGGATGGAGAGTTGCATGAGAGTGAAAGGAGGACTGTGTACCTAATATAACAGAATCACTTACCTCCGTCAGCCTCGGGGGGCGGTGGGGGCTGCAGGAGTCTCCTTCCGGTAAAAGGAATGAATGAGGCTCAGGTGAGAGACCCATGGTCAGGGGGTTGCCTCCCAGGAGAGCATCTTCCTAGAATACTATCCGGAAAGTATTTCTTCTCCCTAAAACGGAGAAGGTCAGGAAGGCCAGTCCTGCCTCAACTCTGTGAGCAGAAACTCAGCAAGCACAGTGATGTGGCCGACACTGGGAGACAGTACAGCCACTGGTCCCCATGGAGCCAGACTGCCAGGCCCCTTAGAAAGCACTGCCCACCGGTGTGTCTGCCATGGGTGCTGGAGCCTCCAGCCCCAAGCAGGCAGCAGGGGGAGAGGCGGCAGCTGCCAGCAAGGCCCTGCCCGCCTCCATCCTTCTGGTTCACGCGCCCCAGCCGGCGGCCCACATCTTCTGCAAGTCATGAGGTGAACAAGTTGGGGAACACAGCCGCAGAGGACGGTGCTGACCTCTGACCTTAGACGCAAGAGGTCAGAGGAACAGGCAGCTGACAAAATAGGGACCAGGCACCGCGCGGGCCGCACCAAAGGCTGCTCTGAGCCCAGACAGCAGTGCAGGGAGGCTGGCAGGGCTATCGAGGAACAGTAATAACCTAAGAGCACCAAGCAGGCGCGGCAGTGAGGGCAGAGATTTCATCCATGAAAGCCTGGGTTTAGGCCAACGAGGGAGAGCTGGAAAGGCCTTCTGCCTTGGACGGAAGGGGGGGGTGACTTGATCACAGCGGCCATTGCCACAGGCCAGGCGCTGTGCTGAGCCTTTACAGCAGTGGTTCTCAACCTTCTGGCCCTTTAAATACAGTTCCTCATGTTGTGACCCAACCATAAAATTATTTTCTTTGCTACTTCATAACTGTAATGTTGCTACTGTTATGAATCATAATGTAAATATCTGATATGGCCCTAACCGGTTTGGCTCAGTGGATAGAGCGTCGGCCTGCGGACTCAAGGGTCTCAGGTTCGATTCCAGTCAAGGGCATGTACCTTGGTTGCGGGCACATCCCCAGTAGGGAGTGTGCAGGAGGCAGCTGATCGATGTTTCTCTCTCATCGATGTTTCTAACTCTGTTCCTCTCCCTTCCTCTCTGTAAAAAAATCAATAAAATATATTTTTTTAAAAAATCTGATATGCAGGATGGTCTTAGGCGACCCCTGTGAAAGGGTTGTTTGACCGCCAAAGGGGTCGAGACCCACAGGTTGAGAACCGCTGTTTTACAGGCATCGAATGATGAGCTGTACCCCATGTGGCAGATGAGGAAACGGAGGCCCCAGAGGGTCACATAGTTTGCACAGGGGGCATTCAAGCGACTTTCAGAGCTGGGATTGGCCCCAGGGCTGGGCTGGGAACCCGCACACTGGACCATCGCCCACGGGGTTTGTGGCCTGGACCACAAATTATAGAAATATCAACCAGGCCTACTGGGAAGTTGCAGGTGACCAGCCTTTTCCAAGAAAGCGTCAAATGTTCATCAGAGCAGAGCCACCCACATCACATTTTCCTAAGGAAGCAGTGGTGGCTGATTCAGCCATCGTTCTCTCCCTCTTCTGGAGGCAGGAAGCTTTCTTTCCGTTCTCACTCCCCAGGTCCAGATCTTACAAATTCCCAACAAGCTCTCTAGGCCTCAGTTTCTTCATCTGCAAAATGGGGGTAAGAGTAGTGCCTGCCTCAATGTTGTGAGGAGCCACAAAGGAGGCCGTTCGTGTAAAGCGCTCAGCATTGCGCCTGAGATGGAATGAGTGCGTGCTGTGTGGCTTTAACTGTTAACCCAAAGCTTCCCTGATTGCCCGGTTTCCTACTATAGCTGCCCACGTGGGTGCGGTAGAGGGAGAAGTACATGCGCGCCCAAGCAGTTGGGCAGTAGAACCTCAGGGCTGGCCGGCCAACTCGCAGCCTGTGGAGGCCCCAGCTTCCCAGGGCAATGGGTGGCACCCCGTCCTTCCCAGGCCTGCTCAGGAGCCCACAAGCCCATTTCCGGGATCATGAAAGTCACTGTTTCTCCAAGCCGGCCCCCCACCCAGCATGGAGCACGGGACAGTCACTAACAGTGCCTCCTGCGGAGGGCTGTACCCCTATATGTCTCCTCCCCACAGCAGTCACAGGGGCCTTTAAAAAAGGTAAATGAGTGCCCGGCCGACGTGGTTCAGTGGTTGAGCGTCACCCTGTGGACCAGGAGTTCGTGGTTCGATTCCCGGTCAGGGCACATGCCCCGGTTGTGGGCTTGATCCTCAGTGGGGGGCGTGCAGGAGGCAGCCGATCGATGATTCTCTCTCATCATTGATGTTTCTCTCTCTCTCTCGTCCTCTCCCTTCCTCTCTGAAATCAATAAAAATATATTTAAAAAATTTTTTTTCTTTAAAAAAAAGATAAATTAGTGAATTTCTACAAAAACTGTCGACTGCTCTGAGAATTTCATTCAACATCCTGACCGGGCTGCCACCTGCTCCAGGATCTCGTCCTTGCCTACCCCTCTCATCCCGTCTCTCCCCACCCTCGCCCTCTCCCACACACTTGGAGAAGTGTCTGCTCTCCAAGTGCATGCGCTCATGTCCCAGGCCCGTGTCCTCTCGTCCCAGGCCTGTGTCCTCACGTCCCAGGCCTGCCTTGGAAGCCCTCTCGTCACACCTCAACTATCACTTCCTCCCAGGCACCCTCCCTGGCCACCCGAGGGACTGTCCCAGGCATAACCACATCACCCTCTTTATGATTTCTTCCCAGAGCACTTCCGATGACCTGAACTCCTCTGATGAACGGGCTTATGGTGCTGTCGTCCGCCTCCCTCACCACCACGCGAGCCCTGGAGGAGGTCCTGCACCCGGCGGCTCTCAGTCAGTGTCTGAGGAGTGAGTGAGTGAAATGCCTGGTGCACAGCCCACCCCCCTCAGAGGTTTTTATTGTCACACATAACATATCCCCATCCCAAGCCCTCTTCTTTTTTTAAAATATATTTTTATTGATATCAAAGAGGAAGGGAGAGGGAGTGAGAGATAGAAACATCAATGATGAAAGAGAATCATGGATCGGCTGCCTCCTGCACGCCCCCCACTGGGGATTGAGCCTGCAACCCGGGCATGTGCCCTTCACCGGAATCGAACCCGGGACCCTTCAGCCCGCAGGTCGATGCTCTATCCACTGAGCCAAACCAGCTTGGGCCCAAGCCCTCTTCTTGCTCCTAAGCCTCACTCGGGCTCCTGGGAACTTCGGTGGAGGTCTCCTTCAGCTAAAAAGCACTCCACTGTCCGTGAGAGGCCCTCACTGCTTGCCACCCACAGTTCCCTCACCTGGCATGTCTGGCACCCTCTCTGCCAAAGGCAGCCCCTTAGGCACTAGCAGTGCTGGCGCCTTTCATGTGCAGGTGGCACGGGGCGGACTGCTCCCCAGGTGTACACACCGTGCCCCGCTGAGCCAGGGCACCGCCCTCCTCCAGGAATTGGCTGGCTTTTCCCCCAGCAATGTTTGCTTTAGGGATTAAAGTTAGAGTGGCGGAGCCTGTCATTTCCAGAATCATTCCTTCCTTCCCTGGCGGCCAGCAGTACATTTGTTATTTTATTTTCCCAAGACCCTGATCACAGCGTCCCAGACAAGTTGGTTGATAGCATCATCCAACGGAAAAACTCTCCGATACTGCGCTTAGCCGTGGGCAGACTCGCTGGCTTCACGGGGGAGGCCTGGACCCAGAGTGGCACCCGTTTTCGCGCCTTTTTCGGGTCAGCCTTGAGGCCCACAGTCATTTTCTCCTGTTTCTCTTTTCTTTTTTCTTCTTTTTTTAAAATATATTTTATTGATTTTTTTTTTTTTTTTTTACAGAGAGGAAGGGAGAGGGATAGAGAGTTAGAAACATCGATCAGCTGCCTCCTGCACACCCCCTACTGGGGATGTGCCCGCAACCAAGGTACACGCCCTTGACTGGAATCAAACCTGGGACCCTTCAGTCCGCAGGCCGATGCTCCATCCACTGAGCCAAACCGGTTAGGGGTCTCTTTTCTTTTTAAGTAGTGAAGTAACCCCCACCCAGACACACCGCCTTTATCTGGCACAGTGCAGAAATGGGCTGCCCTGGCCGGTTGGGCTCAGTGGATAGAACGTCAGCCTATGGACCAAAGGGTCTCAGGTTCGATTCCGGTCAAGGGCACGCACCTTGGTTGCAGGCTCCTTCCCAGCCCGGGCCCTGGTAGGGGCGCCAGTAGGAGGCAACCAATCGATGTGTTTCTCTTACAGTGATGTTTCTCTCTGTCTTTCCCTCTCTCTTCCACCCTCCCTAAAAATCACTGGAGAAATATCCTCGGGTGAGGATTAACAAAACAAAACAAAAAGAAACTTAACTCTAGAAGAAAAAAAAAAAAAAGAAATGGGCTACCTCATGTTAGTACATTTTCAAAATAATGTCTTCCAGGCACCAACACTTGGAACAAATATATTTTAAAAACAGCTTTGTTGAGGTGTGATTGACACACTGTAAACGGAGCATGTTTAAAGTGTGCAGCTTGATCTGTGTTGACGTTCCCATACGCCCGTGAAACCATCCCCACCGTCTAGATAATGAACATATCCATCATTCCCAAGAGGTTCCTTCCGCCCCGAGGCCCCCTCCCCGGCAGCCACCGATCTGCCTTCCAAAGGCACATTCACTGCCTCACCCACTTCCCCACCCTGTAAACAGGGTGATCAGCCCGATTGTTCCCATCCTGGTTCTGCATGATCATTAACGTTACTGAAAGCCGTGTCCTCAGATGTCAGGGAGAGACGTAGACTGTTTGCCGTGCGCACTAAATGGCCCCATTGTTGCACTGCCGTGCCTGGCAGGTTGGGGTTTGGGAGTTTCTCCCTCGCTGCCAGCTGCCTCGGCGCACAGTTCCCAGCAGGCCACTCCTGGGGCCTCGCAGGCTGCACACCATCGCCTCCTCCGCGCCATTCCCATTCCTCACTCCCCATCAGTGGTCCTCAGCCAGGGGCACTTTTGCCCCCCAGGGGACATTTGGCAATGCCTGGGGACATTTTTGGTTGTCCTAATGGCGGTGGGAGTGCCGCTGGCTCCTACCAAGTGTTGAGAGACAGGGGTGTTGCTAAACATGCGACGCGCACAGGACAGCCCCGCGAAAAACAGGGATCCAGCCCAAGAAGTTAATGTGCTGAGGTTGAGAAACCCCTTCCAGATGCCAGAACTAACTGGGAAAGGGAACAAGAAGTCATGACAATTGACTGCTGTACTTTTCTGGATCAAGAGGGATCCATAGCTGGTTTGGCTCAATGGATAGAGCATCGACCTATGGACTGAAAGGTCCTGGGATCGATTCTGGTCATTACTTTTCTGGATCAAGAGGGAGAAGGAGCCCTGGCTGGTTTGGCTCAATGGATAGAGCGTCAACCTATGGACTGAAAGGTCCTGGGATCGATTCTGGTCAAGGGCACATTCCCCGGGTGGCAGGCTCAATCCCCAGTAGGGGACGTGCAGGAGGCAGCCGATCCATGATTCTCTCTCATCATTGATGTTTCTATCTCTCTCTCCCTCTCCCTTCCTCTCTGAAATCAATAAAAATACATTTTTTAAAAAGGGAGAGGGAAAGGCAGAGGTTTATTGGAGCTGCAAGGCCTCATGGTAGGACAGAGTCAGAAAGACCTTAGCTGTCTCAGCTACCTCCTTCCAGGCCTGGGCGCTGGCTTCCACGGACAAGCTCTAAGGGCTCAGCTTGAAGCACCAGGGCCCAGCATTCAGGCACTCAATGAATGTCTATCCGATTGTCTGATTGCACCCAACACACCTACTAGGTGCCCAGTCCTGGGTAGCAGCGGCTAGACGTTGAAAGCAAGGCAGGAGACACAGAAGGGAGCCATTAAACCGACCAGTGAGTGTGGAACTTGGCAGAACCAGCTGAGGAAAGATAAGTGCAGACCCACCCCAGTAACTGGGAAAATGAGGGCTGGCCATGACGGGATCCTGTCCCAGCGGCCCAGCCATTTCACCACCACATCACTTCTGGCTCCTCCCCCCACCCACAGGCACCCTTTTTGCTTGTCATATAAAGGAGACTTTCCCAAAGTGGTTTAGCCAGAACGGGCAGGGCCCTGCCCCAGGTTGGGGTAGGAGGAGCCTGGCGGAGGCCCAGCAGCGCTCAGGAGGGACTCCAGGTGTCTGCAGCTGGATGGTGAAGTATGGGCATGCTTTATTCCCCTCTGCATGACTTCCAGGTTTTGTTACTTGATTATACCGTAGACCAGCGGTCACCAACCTTTCGGACCTCACGGACCACCGGTTGGCGACCACTGCTGTAGACGCTCCTGAAAATGCATGTAGGCAAAAAGCTCACAAATCCCACCCTTTCAGAGAAAACAATTTTGTCGTGTGGCCTTCTATTCAAGTATGAAGGTGGTGTAGACGTTTTTAAAAAATATATATATTTTTTTATTGATTTCAGAGAGGAAGGGAGAGGGAGAGAGAGATAGAAACATCAATGATGAGAGAGAATCATCGACTGGCTGCCTCCTGCACGCCCCCTACCGGGGATCGCGTGCAATGTTGGCATGTGTCCTGACTGGGATTCGAACCATGACCTTCTGGTTCATAGGTCGACGCTTAATCACTGAGCACACCGGCCGGCAGTGTAGACATTTTTATGAAAACCAGGTGTGGGTGCTGCCGCCGAAGGCTTGAGGTGCCTGAGAGTGAGGAGGAGGTTTAGAGAGAAGGGGACCCCCGAGAGCACACCACGGGGACACTGGGAGTGCCCCTGGTGAGTGTGACTGGGTGAATTTAACTGGGGGGTTGCTCTACGGAGCCTCCCAGATTAGCCCCAAATCCAGAGAAAAAGAGGCCTCGCTGGCTGGGTACTTCTCTCCCGGGTCTCTGCTGGAAAGGTGAGAACCCCAGTTACAGCCCTCTTCCCTTGGGCCTTAACTAACCATCATGCCCTGCTTCCCCCCACAGGTGGACATCCCTCCTGTTTGCCAGGCTTCTGTCACATGGTGCCCCAGCCTATTGACTGCTGTGTCGAACTGATCAAGTGGGATCCACAGGTCAGTACAGCTCCTACGGCCCCAAGTCCGGACTCCTGGGCTCCAGGGGAGTTAACTTCCTAGGGCAAGCATGTCAAACTCAAAGGCTTAACACGAGCCAAATAAACGAGGCATGCGGCCCGCTGGCCGCGAGTTTGACATGTTTGTCCTGGGGCCTTAGGGCCTCTGATATGGATACGGAGAGAACAATACCTGCCCACGGGACTTGCTCCCGTGAGATAAAGGACCTCGCTGGCTAGCAGTCAGCAACTGAAGCAAGCTGGGACTCCCTCAAGGAGAGTGGCTGTAGCAACAGAATCGTGGTAAATGACAACCGCATGGGAAACCCTGGGTGAAGCCAGGACAGGTGCTCACTTGCTCAGTCCTAGCCTCTCCCCTCCCTCCAGCGATGCACCTCTGAGCAGCACAGTTCCAGGATTTCAGCTCTAAGTGCCAGAGGCAGGCTTGGAGGGCCAGGCTTGGAGGAACCGGCAAGTTCAGTGCCGCCTCTTCCCTCACCCCAGACCACCGAGGCTCCCCTGGGACCAGCCTCCAGGATGGGTGGGGCGCCTAGAGGCAGCCAGTGTTGCTATCTCTCTGGCTTGACCTCTCTTCTAGGTCTGAGGACAAGAGGGAAGGGCACTGGGAGACTCCAAGGCTAGATGGGGCCAGCCCTGTCCCAGTTTCCCCTCAATGGGGTTCCCTTGCTCAGACTAAGGAAGAACCGTGACTCACTTCCTGCCTCGCTGGGTCTGACTGCAGAAGTATTGTTTCTACCAACAGTGGCTGCTGCTGGTGGGACTACCCCAGTGTGGCCCCTACCAGTCAGTCCCTTGTTGGGGAAAGTTCCCACTCCCAGTCTTCTCCCCCAGATAAGTTTTAGGAACCCCTAATTCTTTCCCAGGTTTCTGGTTTTTGCAGCATTTGTAAGGATGCCCGTACCTTATCCTATTAACTGAATATCATCTCCATTTTATTTTTTTTAATTAATTTATTAATTTATTTATTTTTGGTATTCCTCACCTGAGGATATTTTTCCATTGATCTTTTTAAAATATATTTTATTGATTTTTTTTACAGAGAGGAAGGGAGAGGGATAGAGAGAAACATCGATCAGCTGCCTCCTGCACACTTCCCACTGGGATGTGCCGGCAACCAAGGTACATGCCCCTGACCGGAATCGAACCTGGGACCCTTCAGTCCGCAGGCCGACGCTCCATCCACTGAGCCAAACCGGTCAGGGCTTTCCATTGATTTTTAGAGAGAGTAGAAGAGAAGGACAAAGACTGTGAGAGAGACACATTGATTGGTTGCCTCCCGCATGCGCCCCCGACCAGGGCCAGGGATCAAGCCTACAACCGAGGTACGTGCCCTTGACCAGAATCGAACCCGGGACCCTTCAGCCCGCAGGCCGACGTTCTATCCACTGAGCCAGACCTGCTGGGGCTAGTATCTCCATTTCAGAGGGGTAAATTGAGGCTTACTGTGTGTCTAAGGTGGCGTAAAATAGTACCGCAGGGATTTGAACCCAGGCTCGCTGACTGGCGTGTCACAGAGTGAGTCCTTAGGAATGTCACTTAACCTCTCTGGCCCTGATTTTGTCCCGTGTAAAATGTAGTGATGCACAAAAGGTACCTACAGGAGCCTGGCCAGTGTTGCTCAGTGGTTGAGCGTAACCTATGAACCAGGAGGTCATGGTTTGATTCCTGGTCAAAGCATATGCTTGGGTTGTGGGCTCCATCCCCTTTGGGGCGGTGGGGGGAGGGCGATCAATGATTCTCTCTCATCATTGATGTTTCTATCCCTCTCCCTTTCTCTCTCTGAAATCAATAAAAACATATATTTTTTAAAAAGGTACCTAAAGGAAAATGTATTCGCTACATCGACCTCATAGGGCTTGCAGTAAGGAAGAAGCGAGTTACAGGGGAAGAGCTGAGAAGAGCAGTCGGCTCCCGGCAAACACTGGGCCCTGTTCGTTTTTTGTCCTTTTCCCCAAACCCGTGTTGAGGAGGCCACTGGATAGCACTGTGCTGCCAGGTTATCTCTGGGTGAACAGGAAGGGATGGGCAGAGACTGCGCTGCGACCTTGGACTAACCTAGCCCGGGGAGCTCTTGGCCACATGTCCCCTCTTTTCTCTCGCAGCTCAAGCAGGGGCGGCCTCGCCAAGTAGCACAGACGTTTTCTAGGGCAGGGACCCAGGGAGGGAGCCGAGTTGGCTGGTACATTGCAAGTCCCGGGCTGCGGGCTCTGCTAGGCACCGCGGCCTGCTAGCTAGGGAACTCGGACAAATTATTTAAACTTTGTACGCCTCAGTTTCCTTATCTGTAAAATGGGATTAGTGTCAGCTTGAAGGGATTATGTGGGTTAAAGAATGTACATAAGAGGGAGATAGTGTAAAGTGGCTGGCCCGGTGCCCCGTCGGGCGGTTACATGAAAAGGCGGTGGGCTTCTTGTTCTGCTTCCCGACCTGTCTATACAGATAACAGGTTCAAGTCAGGTCTTGGCTCTCGGGACAGTGGGTCCGAGGTTTGCCGCCTGCTGTGCAGTCCGATCACAGGTGGGTGCCCCCGATCCGTCGTCCAGGGCATTTACCCGGTCAGGCTCAAACTCGCGGCTCTGGAGTGGGAAGTGGGGGGGAGGGCCAGTTCCCCCCAGAATCCAGCCGCCTCCGGGTTCCCAGATTCGCCTCAAGCCCTTCCCAGCCCAGGCCAAGGGTCTGCGGGTCTCCGCGCCTCCGGCCGGAGGAGCTCGCAGC